GCCGAGGCAGGTGGATCACGAGGTCAGGAGATCGAGACCATCCTGGCTAACATGGTGAAACCCCGTCTCTACTAAAAATACAAAAAACTAGCCGGGCGTGGTGGCGGGCACCTGTAGTCCCAGCTACTCGGAGGCTGAGGCGGGAGAATGGCGTGAACCCGGGAGGTGGAGCTTGCAGTGAACCGAGATCGTGCCACTGCACTCCAGCCTGGGTGACACAGCGAGACTCCGTCTCAAAAAAATGAATAAATAAAATAAAATAAAATAAAATAAAATAAAAGTATTGGTAAAATAGGCCAGGCACGGTGGCTCATGCCTGTAATCCCAGCACTTTGAGAGGCTGAGGCAGACAGATCACCTGAGGTCAGGAGTTTGAGACCAGCCTGGCCAACATGGTGAAACCCATCTCTACTAAAACTACAAAAATTCACCAGGCATGGTGGTGGGCACCTGTAACCCCAGCTACTCAGGAGGCTGAGGTGGGAGAATCTCTTGAACACAGGGAAGGCAGAGGTTGCAGTGAGCCGAGATCATGCCACAGAACTCCAACCTGGGCAAAAGGGCAAGACTCTATTTCAAAAAAAAAAAAAAGTATTGGTAAAATAATATTAGAAACATCTTAAGAATTGCCAGCATACATTTTTGTTTGCACTTATTGATGAAGAAATGTCATACTTATCCCTGCCAAATACTACTGAGGCAGGAAAATAGCAGAGGGAATTGGAGTTTGGATAAAGGGTGGAATGAGTAGGAGCAGAAGCAAGGTGAAGAGGTGGGTGCCCAAGCATGTCATGAATGGTCTATGTAAGTCATTAATAAGGGGATTTATGAAAAAAAAACTTTTATATTTCAAGTTGTATATAAATTAAGGGGAAACTATAATGGTATTTCTAGTGACTGGGTTTTGATCTTTAAAAAAATCACTTATAGACTAAATAACTGGATCAAAATACAAAATTTTCCTAAGGTATTGTTTTACTCTTAATAAACTGCAAGACATTATAATTTTTTTTACAAAAAGTTCAACTTTTATTGTGTCTTGCTGTTTGTAGCTTTCTCTCCTCTTTTAAAAGGCATGAAATAATAACTCTATCCTTCAACTAATTTTCAGCTCCTGTAAGTTTTTCTCTTTTAGTTTCTAACTGTTGTGGCCTCATGCCAACAACAACGAAATGGTTTATCCTAGAGGTGTAAAGGAAAAGTTTCCTTTCAATGTAATATTCCCCATAGGAAACAGCAGTTGCACTGCAGAAGGTCTTTTCTTTTGCCTTTCAATAACTGGCCTAATAAACAGGTATTACACTTTATCAAAATAATTCCTATGTCATTATTACTAAGTTTGGTTTGGTTAGAAAAAAACTAAGATTAAAAAAAATTTTTTTAATTAAGGTTATTACATCCACATAATTTTCTGTATGTGTGTGTGTTTTTTTTTTTAAGACAGTCTCACTTTGTCACTCAAGCTGGAGTGTAGTGGCATAATCTTGGCTCACTGCAACCTTGTCTCATGGGTTCAAGGGATTCTTGTGCCTCAGCCTCCTCAATAGCTGCGATTACAGGCACACACCACCATGCCCAGATAATTTTTTTGCATTTTTAGTAAAAATAAGGTTTCGCCATGTTAGCCAGGCTGGTGGCAAACTCCTCACCTCAAGTGATCTGCCCACCTTGGCCTGCCAAAGTACTAGGATTACAGGTGTCAGCCACCATGCCTGGCCTGTATGTGCTTTTAAAGTCCTTGTGTCACTAAGTTACAGGGCTTTGACGCCTGGGTCTAAAAAGGACACCAAGTCCTCCTAAATCTTAAACACTGACAGCAGTTAAAACCTCATCTTCAGACCTAATAGAAGATGCCAATCAAAATAAACTGTGTTCGTGAGACACAGGACAAGAAAGTAAAACTATTCAACTCCTCAAGGCCCAGGGGCTATTACAGCAGAGGTGGGCACATGAAATTGTAAGAGCTTACCTAGAAAGATAAAACAAGTTCAGTTTCTCTACAAATTAACCATTGATGTCAAAGGCACACTGATGCAAGACCAGCATATGAGCCTCTGTGTCAGATTAACAAGGTTTTCTTGGAGTATTGACCCACTCCTTGATAAAGATTATAACGGTTGTAAAAAGGCTTATGGAAATCATATCTTATGGGCAAGATGATTAAAATTTTAGATTGTTTATAAAATTTTGAATAACAAATTTAATTGGCCTCACGCTCTCTTTATTAGGGCTTATTGTTTGAGAAATTAAGTGTCCTCTCTCAAAAAATAAAGGTTTTTCCCTTTTTTTGAAATCTTTGTGTATCACTTTGGTTAAATGAAGGACTTACTTTACAATGACCTGTGATCCTATTTTGTGATACTAAGAACTTTAAAGTTTGTCAAATTTTTTTGTCAAATTTTAAATTGGGTCCTCATTAATCTTTTGATATTAGTTCCCTAAAGTCCAAAAGAGACACATTCAGTTTATCTGGTACAAAAATCATACAGAAAGCATTGTCATACAGAAAGCTTCAGCCCCCCGAGGAGCTGGGACTATAGGCGCCTGCCACCTTGCCTGGCTAATTTTTCTTACTTTTAGTAGAGACGGGGTTTCACCGTGTAAGGCAGGCAGGATGGTCTCGATCTCCTGACCTCGTGATCCACCCGCCTCAGCCTCCCAAAGTGCTGGGATTACAGGCGTGAGCCAGCATGCCTGGCCGAACATTTGATATTTTAAAAAGTCTTACTACATTTGTTACATTTGTAAGGTAGCTCTTCAGTATGAACACTCTGGTTTCCATTTCAATGTTCAGGTAAAAGCCTTACCACACACATTACATTTGTGTGGTTCCTCTCAAAGTTGTATATTTTGATGTCTAGTGAGTTCTGATGCCTGGGGAAAGTCTCCGGCACATACATGTAGATTCTCTATCAGTATAAACTCCCTTATGTCCAGTAGTGATTGAACTCTGGTAAAGGTTTTGCCACACTTTTCTCATTTGTAAAGCACCTCTGCACTTTGAATTATCTATAGATCCACAAGTTTTGATCTTTGAATAGAATTCTTGCCACACATACTGCGCTTCAGTAATTTCTCTCCAATATGTATATTCTTTTTTTCCTTTTTTTTTTTTTTGAGACAGAGTCTTGCTGTATCACCCAGGCTGGAGTGCAGTGGTGTGATTTTGGCTCACTGCAACCTCCACCTCCTGGGTTCAAGCAATTCTCCTGCCTCAGCCTCCCAAGTAGCTGGGACTATGGGCACACGCCACCATGCCTAGCTAATTTTTTGTATTTTAGTAGAGACGGGGTTTCACTGTGTTGCCCAGGCTGGTCTCACACTCCTGAGCTCAGGCAATCTGCGCACCTCAGCCTCCCAAAGTGCTAGGATTACAGGCGAGAGCCACTGCGCCCAGCCTTCCAGTATGTACATTCTTATGACAAGTGAGTAGTGAACACTACCTTAAAACTTAGCTACGTTTACTGCATGTGTAAATGTATTGGGCCATATTTGAATTGCTATAAAGAAATACCTGAAGCTGGGTAATTTATAAAGAAGTTTAATTGAATCACAGTTCTGCAGGCTTTACAGGAAACATGGTGCTGGCATCTGCTCACCTTCTGAGGAAGCCTCAGGAATGTTAAAATCACGGTGGAAGGAAAAGGGGGAGTGGGCATATCACATGGCAAGAATAGGAACGAGAGGGAGGTTCCATACACTTTTTCTTTTCTTTTCTTTTTTTTGAGACAGGGTCTCACTGTCAGCCAGGCTGGAGTGTACTGGCACAATCTTGGCTCACTGCAACCTCTGTCTCCTGGGTTCCAGCGATTCTCATGCTTCAGCCTCCTGAGTAGCTGGGATTACAGGCATGCATCACCATGCCTGGCTAAGTTTTGTATTTCAGTAGAGACAAGGTTTCACCATGTTGACCAGCCTGGTCTTGAACACCTGGCCACAAGTGATCTGCCCGCTTCAACCCCCCTAAATGCTGGGATTACAGGCATGAGCCACCATGCCTGAACTGCCATACACTTTTAATCAACAAGATCTCAGCCGGGCTTGGTGACTCACGCCTATAATCCCAGCACTTTGGGAGGCTGAGGTAGACAGATCATGAGGTCAAGAAATTGAGACCATCCTGGCAAAAATGGTGAAAATCCGTCTCTACTAAAAATACAAAAATTAGTCAGGCATGGTGGTGTGCGCATGTAGTACCAGCTACTCAGGGAAACTGAGGCAGGAGAATCACTTGAACCTGGGAGGCAGAGGTTGCAGTGAGCCGAGATCATGCCACTGCATTCCAGCCTGGTGACAGAGAGAGACTTCGTCTCAAAAAAACAAAACAAACAAACAAAAAAACAAGATCTCACCAGAACTCACTATCCCAAGAAGAGCAAAAACCAGGTGGTGCTAAACCACTCTTGAGAAATTCACTCCTGTGATCCAGTCATCTCCCACTAGGCCCCACCTCCAATACGGGGGATTAAAATTCCACATGAGGTTCAGACAGAAGCATCAAATATACAAACTATACCTGTAAATGTGAATTATTTGAACCCAGAAGTTAGGAGAACATCTAAAGGCGTTTCCACATTGAGTTTTGTTGTAAGATTCTCTCCAGTATGTTTTGTCTGATGTTTAGTGAGGCCTGAGCGACTAATGAAAGATTTGCCACACTCATTACATTTATAAGGTTTTTCTCCAGAATGAATTATTTGGTGTTTGTTGAGGCAAGAAAACCGTCCAAAGGCCTTGCCACATTCAATACATTTGTATGGCTTCTCTCCAGTGTGATTTCTTTGATGGTACACCAGCTTTGACCTTTCAATAAAAGCTTTACCACATTCATTACATTTGTAAGGTTTGTCTCCAGTATGCATTTTCTGATGATTAACCAGAATTGAACGTACTCTAAAGGCTTTGCCACACTCATTACACATGTAAGGTTTCTCTCCAGTATGAATACTCCGATGGCGTGCTAGTGTTGATTGATGACGAAAGACCTTGCCACATTCATTACATTTGTAAGGTTTCTCTCCAGTATGAATTCTCCGATGCCTTGCAAGGTTCGAAGTGGAATTAAAGACCTGGCCACATTCAATACATTTGTATGGCATCTCTCCAGTATGCCTTCTCTGATGGTACGTCAGGCCTGTTATATGACTAAAAGTTCTACCACAATGGCTACATTTGTGTGGTTTCTCCCCAGTAGGATTTCTGTGATATCTTGCAAGTTTTGAACTTTGGATAAATGCCCCTCCAAACTCATTACAATTGTAAGGTTTCTCTCCAGTATGAATTATCAGATGTTTAGTGAGGCTTGATCGCTGAGTATAGGCTTTGCCACAATCATTACATTTGTAAGGTTTCTCTCCGGTATGAATTTTCCGATGACGTGCTAGGCATGAGTAGTAACTGAAGACCTTACCACATTCATTACATTGAAAAGGCTTCTCTCCAGTATGAATTCTCTTATGATTTGAAAGGTTTCCACTGTCATTGAAGACCTTGTCACACACATTACATTTGTAAGGTTTCTGCCCAGTATGAATTCTTAGATGACGTGCTAGGCATGAGTAGTTCCTGAAGACTGTGCCACATTCATTACATTGGAAAGGTTTCTCTCCTGTGTGTATTCTCTTATGGATTGAAAGGTTTCCACTGTAATTGAAGACCTTGCCACACACACTACATTTGTAAGGTTGCTCCCCAGTATGAATTCTTAAATGTCTTACAAGGCATGAATTTTCACTAAAGACCTTTCCACATTCACTGCATTGGTAACGTTTCTCTCTAGTATGAATTATCTTATGTCGAGTGAGTAATGACCCCTGTTTAAAGGCTTTGCCACATTTATCACATTTGTAAGGTTTCTCTCCAGTATGAATTCTCCGATGCCCCGCAAGATGTGAAGTCTGACTGAAGACCTTGCCACATTCATTGCATTTGTAAGGTTTCTCTCCAGTATGACTTCTCTGGTGCCTTGCAAGTTGTGAACGTTGACTGAAGACCTTGTCACATACATCACACGTATATGGTTTCTCTCCTGTATGGATTATCTGATGTGTAGTGAGGCTTGAGCTCCGTTTAAAGGTTTTGCCACACTCGCTACATTTGTAAGGTTTGTTTCCACTATGAACTGTCTGATGAGTTGCCAGGTTGGAACTTTGACTAAAGGACTTTCCACATATGTTGCATTTGTATGGTTTCTCTCCAGTGTGGATTCTCTGGTGATTTACAAGATTTGAATTCTGCCTAAAGACCTTGCCACATATGTCACATTGATATGGTTTCTCTCCTGTATGGATTATCTGATGTGTAGTGAGGCATGAGCCTTGTTTGAAGGTTTTCCCACACTCATTACATTTGTAAGGTTTCTCTCCAGTGTGAATCCTTTGATGTATTGCAAGGTTGTAACTTTGACTAAAGGACTTGCCACATTCATTACATTTGTATGGTTTCTCTCCGGTGTGACTTCTCCAGTGATTTACAAGATCAGAATTTTGTCTGAAGATCTTGCCACATACATCACATTGACATGGCTTCCCCCTTGTATGGACTATCTGATGTATTGTTAGTAGTGAGCCCCGATGAAAGGCTTTGCCACATTCGTTGCATTTGTAAGGTTTCTCTGTAGTATGCACCATCTGATGGTTAATAAGACTTGAAGACACTCTAAAGGCTTTGCCACACTCATTACATATGTAAGGTTTTTCCCTAATGTGTGTTTTCTCAAGTTGGGTGGGTAATGACAGTTGCAAAAACTCATTCCCATATTTTTTAGAAATGTTGATTTGGACACTTGGAAGAATTCTTTGAAGTGGTGAGACTAGGGAACCATTATTAACTGTCTTCTCAGATTGGTTACATTCATAAATTTTCCCTTCAGTTTGAAATTTCTGCAGTTCAGTCAGATGTGAGTGAAAGCTTAATGGAAGCTGATTTTCAATACATTTGTTTTCTACATCCTCTTGACTATGTTGACCACTTTTACCAGTAAGATTGTTTTTATAGGTCATTGGCACTTCTTTATTATTTATTTCACCATCTTTCCATTGAAACTCAAGGTCCTGTAGATTTTTCTGGACTTCCCTTAAGTAAAAATTTTCAATATCATAACATTCATGTCTTTCCAGCATCACTCTTTGGAATTTTTCTCCTGTATTACTGTTTCCTATTGGTGGTAATTCCTTGGTCATACATTTAGGAAGGATACCTACAAAATATAATGAACATAGGAGTTTTTTTGTTGTTTTTTTGTTTTTTTGGTTTTTTTTTTTTTGAGACAGAGTCTTGCTCTGTTGCCCAGGCTGGAGCAGAGTGGCACAATCTTGGCTCACTGCGACCTCTACCTCCTGGGTTCAAGCTATTCTTCTGCCTCAGCCTCCTGAGTAGCTGGGACTACAGGTGCATGCCACCACACCTGGCTAATTTTTGTATTTTTAGTAGAGGCAGGGTTTCACCATATTAGCCAGGCTGGTCTCGAACTCCTGACCTCGTGATCTGCCCACTTCGGCCTCCCAAAGTGCTGGGATTACAGGCATGAGTGAGCCACTGCACCTGGCTGAACATGAGTTTTACAAATAACTAGTATTATTTGTTTTTGTTTGTTTGTTTTTAAATAACTACTATTCATAAATATTTTATATTGAAAACATACTACACTAAAAGTAACATTTATATTAGACAGTTACCAAACTTTACCACAGTGATCTTTTATTTTTACAAATAAAAAAGGAGTAGAATTCTTCAGTAAAGAAACACTAATCACATGTAATTCAAATTAATTTTAAGGAAGTCTAGTTTCAAACATTCAATGACCAAAAGACTCATGTTGTGCAAACATATATATTAACACTAAAAGAAGTATTTTTCCACCATGCCCCCAAATCATACACCAACTGGCAGCAAACATATGGCTCTCTCAGAAGAAAAAACAGTTATATATATATTTACTTCATATTTATTGTGCACAAATAAATGTCAAATTACAGCTAAATATCAACAAGTTCAACTAATTAATGATCTATGTAAATGGCAAGCTAAATTATAAATCAAAAATAGTACTGGGAAAATGAGAAAGAACTTTTTGAAGTTATAAAACTAAGTTATTTTTCTGAATACTTATTATATAAGTATTAAACCTGTTCTAAAACTACCTATTTCTGGCTGGGTGCGGTGGCTCCCACCTGTAATCCCAGCTCTTGGAGGCCAAGGTGGGTGGATCACGGGGTAAGGAGTTTGAGACCAGCCTGGCCAACATGATGAAACTCTGTCTCTACTAAAAATACAAAAATTAGCTGGGCATGGTGGTGGGCACCTGTAATCCCAGCTACTCAGGAGGCTGAGGTAGGAGAATTGCTTGAACTCAGGAGACAGAGGTTGTAGTGAGCTGAGATTGCGCCACAGCATTCCAGTCTGGGTGACAGAGCAAGACTCTGTCTCGGAAAAACAAACTAACAAAAAGCTATCTATTTCCATAAAAAAATAGACATTTGCAACACTAACAAGCAATGCAAGTCAGCTATATTGACTTATGTCTGCCAAAACTCATATGTTAGGGTCCTAATCCTCAATGTAGTATTATTTGGAGGAGTGAAAACTTTGGGAGGCAATTAGGTCAGCATGGTAGGTAGAATTTCAGGAACGGAATAGGAATTAGAATAGATGTGAAAAAGCTTTTGCTTTTTGCATGACAATCCTTCTGCCATATGAGGACACATTAAGAGTCAGCCATGATACACCAGGAAAAGGGCCCACACCAGGAACCAAAGTGACTGGCTCTGACATGTGGACTGCTCATCACCCAGATCTGTGAAAAGTGAATTTCTGTTGTTCAAACCACCCTATCTATGGTATCTGCTATACCTAGCCACATTAAGTTAAAGCTAATATGCCATCTCATTATAAACATGAAATAATGTTGATATACCTTATTAAACAAAGAGACTTCTGAGTCTTTACTGTAGAACATGCAATATTCCAAGCTAGCCAACAGCACTAACTTGTTTTTAAAAATCTTAAGATAAATTATCACTATTTTACAAATAAGGACAGTAAGTCTGCCCACAGGATTTATGTATCTACACCCAAATTACAAAGAAAGTAAGACGTGAACCTGGGTTTCCAGTATCAAACATGTTTTTAAATAAAACTGGTCAAACAGGCAGTGCAGATAACTGGTCACCCAAATACCAAGAGTGTAGAAAGAAATACTTCAAGAGCTGGCCGGTCGCGGTGGTTCACGCCTGTAATCCCAGCACTTTGGGAGGCCGAGACAGGCGGATCACGAGGCCAGGAGATCGAGACCATCCTGGCTAACACAGTGAAACTCCGTCTCTACTAAATATACAAAAAATTAGCCAAGTGTAGTGGTGAGCGCCTGTATTCCCAGCTACTCAGGAGGCTGAGGCAGGAGAATGGCGTGAACCCGGCAGGCGGAGCTTGCAGTGAGCTGAGATCGCGCCACTGCACTCCAGCCTGGGTGACAGAGTGAGACTCCATCTCAAAAAAAGAAAAAAAACAGAAATACTTCAAGAGCCAAGGTGTGTTGCCAAAACATTATTCAGTCATCCTTCATGAATAACGGTATCTGAGTCATCATCCCCTGCACATATTGATGTAGCCAGTGTTCTCAGAAAGTTGTCAAGTGAATGAGTAGGCGTCATCCCTTACACGCTGAGTGTAGCGTGGAAGGTGAGGGAGTTCTGCAATAATGGGAGTGTAAAATTAATACGCTAGTAAGTGACTGGGTAGTCCATCTGGACCAAAGTAATATGTTCAGAAGAGGAAGGGAGGAGGAAGGGCATGAGGGGAGGGGAAAGAGTTATGAGCATGGGGCAGCAGGGTTTGTGCTTGCAGAGCTGTGGGTATGTACTTGCCTAAAGAATAGTTAAAATTCTGACTTTGGAAGAAAACAAAGACTTATTTAGAAGTAATGCAGTAACTCACATCTGTAATCCTAGCAATTTGGCAGGCCAAGGTGGGCAGACTGCTGAGCTCATGAGTTTGAGACCATCCTGGGTGAAACCCCATCACTACTAAAATACAAAAAATTAGCCGGGTGCGGTGGTGTGAGCCTGTAGTCCCAGCTACTCAGGAGGCTGAGGTAGGAGAATTGCTTGAACTCGGGAGGCGGAGGTTGCAGTGAGCTGAGTTCATGCCACTGCACTCCAGCCTGGGCGACTGTGGGCGGCAAGCCACCCAGGTGCCGAGGTAAGAGACTGAGGGCACGAGCTGTTTCAGTATAATAAAATACATAAAATAACAAGAGTTATACTAGATATAGATCACAGATATGATTATATGTAAGTATCACTAATCATTAGTTTGTAGTAATTACTCTTTATGCCAATATTATAATAATCCTCGCTCTACAATCATAACCTAGGAAAAGCCAGGCCATACAGAGATAGGAGCTGAAGGGACATGGTGAGAAGTGACCAGAAGACAAGA